GAAAGAGTGGATGGGAAGCTTTAAGGAGAAGAAGATGTTCTGTATTGTGAAAGCTAATGATAAATGGCATTAAAAAAAAAAAAGTTTTTATTTATCATGCATTGGAATGGAAAGCTTATTCCCAACTAAAATTATGGGGATGATGGGGCCTCTTTTTCATTTTTTTAATTAAAAGGCCATTGTACCAAACAAGAATCTCACATGGTTCCTTCTCAGCCTCTCCTTCCGTCTGCGTCATCACAAAAACATCACCCACTAACCAAGCCCGTTTTCATGGTACTTTGTTTCTTGTCTCTTTTTTTCTTTTGCAAAACAGAACAGAACATGCACCTGATCATCTCATTAAATTTGACTAAAACTGGTTTGCTTGCAAGATATTAGAAAACTATTAGTCAGGTAATTATGCGAAGGAGACTAAGTATAGCTTAAATTAAAGAAAATTATTTGAAAATGGGTTTATTTATATTAAAAGATCTTGACTCACCAACTTATTTCGAAATTGACATCAGACCAACACAACACGTATGATTTAGGCAAAACGTTGGCTTTCCTGAAATTGGTGGCATAGCTTATAATTGAAAACCAATCACTGTCCTTCAGCAACTGATATGAGGTTCTTTATTATTAAAACCATATATATATATATATATATATAAATTATTCTCTCAAGCAGGGGAAGTGATAAAAAGTTGAACGATGGACCAAAATACAAAAGAAGATAAGAAAAGTTCATGCAGCTTACATTACCAAATGAACATGCCCTTTTGTAACTTTTCAAACACTTTCCCTCTTTATCCATGTGAGACCAGAATCAAGGCATATGATATGAGGCTTTTGCTTACGTTTTGTTAATCTATAAGTTTGAACAAAGTTACCCCCCAAAACATACAGGACAGTATCAAGAATTTCACAGAAGATTTGCAGTTGCAGACTTCATTTCCGGGGACCGACAATTCTAAGAACATTTCTATTTCTAATGATTAAAATTAAATTTTCCTCAGTAAACCACATCGGAGTTTCAATTAATGTGCAAAATTTTAAGCTTGATGATGACCAAAAACCAAGCTAATACAAATTTATTATGCAAGGCCCTTTAGATTAAATGTGAAGTTCTCGACAACTCTGCCCTCCATCCTTTGTTCATTTTTTCAATAAACTCTTCCGCTCTTCTTCTCAGCTCATCATCATTGTCGCACTTCTTGCTGTCATTGTGATGGCTGATGATGCTGTCCTTTTCATCACCGGCAGTGGCAAGTTCTTTCTTGGCATTTGATGAAACTTGGCTGAAAACAGTATCTGATGGATTGACCGTAGTACCCTCCTCCTGCTTACATTTAGCATCATCAACTTGTTTACAATTTGCGTTGTTTCTGTTGTACTTGTAGCTGCTGGTGACCATTGAGACTGGAATTTCACTTTCTTGATCAAAGTAAGAGCCCGGTTTCGACCCCATGACGATCATGACAATAATCAAATTGCAGAAGCAGAAAACAAGCAGAGAATTGGAAGCAGCCTGAGTGAGCAAGTCCACTGTAGAAGCCAACATGGTTGAGCAGATTGGATTGGATTGGAGTGGATAGGATATATTTTGATGAACAAAAGCAAGGAGGAGTAGGGGTGGGGTGTTAGGAGAAGAGCGAGAAGAAGCTATTTATAACTACTGGTACAGTGGATTGAAAGAAGTGTAGGCGAGAAGCTTTTTGAAGGAGATCATGTTAACGAGTAGATGGTGAGGTGGTGTGGTGTGAAAGCTACATAGAAAATGACATAAATTATGTGATTTTGTTTAATGATTGAGATATAAATCAACTGTAGTTGAGATGAAACTTCCCAAATGACTCATTGTTTAGTGGGTCTTCTCTCTTTTGTTTAGTCAAAAAAGTCCAAACGTACCTGCCAAGAACCTCACATGGAACTTTCTTCGTTTCTTGGCATCACAAGTTGACATCATAGGACCACAAATTTTATTTTTGACTATGTGTTGAGCAAATCCCAGACTTTTTTATTTTGTACCAAAGAAAAGTCCAATCTGTCTTCAATCAAAATTTCAATGTCTTTGTTACCAGGAATATATATATATATATATATATATATATAATAAAAGACCTGCTAATGATATCCTTTATACTCTTTTTCTATCTAATAAAATTATATCGCTTTTTTATCAATAAATAAATAAATCTGGCATCTATGTTGAAGGGCCTTTGCATTGGTAGAGCACAGAACTGATTAACAAGTGTAGCTTTAAAAACGTAATGTTATTGGCTTTCCGGGACAGTTTATAGGCGAAGCAGATGGATATTGAAATGCATTTGAATGGATCTGATTGCACATTTATTTATTAAAAGCAAGGTGAAACCAGAAGCATATGAACACCACAAAATTCTTTGTAGTTGGAAGCTACAGTTCATGAAATAGAATGGATGTAGACATATATAAGATATTTGTTTGTAAATCATAATTTTTCATATGAAGAAAGCTACAAATTGGTTGTAGTGTTTGGCTTCATCAGGACCAACTAAAACTTTGCATCAATAAAAATATTACTTCATACTATGATCATCCACCAAGAAGCACAACCACCACTTTCAAGGTCAGTAGTGATGGTGCAAGGATTAACACACTTAAAAGTTCACATGTATTAAAGTCACCAGCAAAAATTAATAGGCTAAACAGGCAAGCCCTTACCAGAAAGAAAGACCAGTACAAAAACAAAATCCTAAGATGGTATCACCTCTTCCTTTTCTTATTTCCTGAGAGAGAATCTTTATTGAAGCCTCTCAAATCATTGGTGGTTTCAGCCATATTTTGCTTCTTGGAACCTTTCCTCCCTCCATATCCAAACTTGGAATCCTTGATATCCCTCTTCTTCGGTTTCTTTCCCACCTTCACACCTTGTCTTGCCTTCCCTCCCGACCGATCTCCTGGAGCTACACCTGGCCTCTTATTACTTGACTTCTCAAATGGTTTCCCATCTTCGAATGCCAAATCCAACTCACTGCCTTTGTCACCCCCAGCAAACCCACTCTGCTGCCTCTGCTTCCTCCACTTCTTCACAGACTCTATGTCCTCCTTCTTCTGCTTAGCTCTCTCTTTCAACTTCTGAGTCTGAATCTCTTTAGATAATTTCTTGGCCTCTCTAGCTTTCCTTCTCTCATCGGCTTCCTCAATCTTCTTCTTCTCTACCAAAAGCCGGCTTTTCACTCTCTCCATGTGGGAATCTGTCTTCACCATTTCCGCATAGTAGTCCTCAGGCCTGAGAAAAGGAAGCCCCATTGACTGAAGCTTCTCGAATGCCTTTCTTGTTCCCTCTAGAGCCTGGGTATAAAATGCGAGCTCCCGAGTTAGGTCATCATTCACGTCCACCTGTTGCTCTTGATCAATATCAACAGAAAGTTTGTGCACCCATCCAGCATTCTCCGGCCAGCTAATATCTCCAAGTTTATCAAGGAGACCATCTCTGTTGAATATGGCTTTCTTTGATGGTTCAGTCAATTTCACATCTTCCTCATCTTCAGATTCTGGTTCTGATTCTGGTTCGGATTCTGGTTCAGACACATCTTCCAAATCATCCTCTTCCATGGAATCCTCATTAAACCGTCTGGACTCTTTATTGGATACACCCATTTAGTAAATCTATTAGGAAAAGATGCAAGTTGTTTAGACTAATGAACAGGATAAATCACTTCATATCAGTTCATACATTTGAAAAGATTTGTACCAAAAACAGATTAATGCATTCAGGAAACAGAATAGAAATAAATCTATGCTGCACGACTAAAATTTATAACCTACCTAACAACATCACATATCTTAATCTTAATAAACACAGAATCATTACAAATTCCAATATATTTCTTTTATTTCCAGCTCAAATCAATCAAAGTTGAAATATCAGAGTAACACACCACAGCCTATGAACAGATTCATACACAAAAAACTACAGTTGGGATTTCAGAAAATTTTAAAAAATTACGAAAATGCGATATCTTTCCATCCTCTTATACATCAATTTTCTCGGCAGCCAAGCAGCAAAGGGAAAAAGGAAGAACGAAGAATTACATCTTACGCCTAAATTAAAAGACTACGGTTGTATAGAGCTTAAATCAGTTTGCTTCAACATTGAAACTTAGGAGACTGGCCATGAAAAATGCTTACCTTTCCGCTGTGGCCTCTGAGCCCTTGATAAAACCCTATTTCCAATTGCTTTGGTTTAGGGTTTAGGTCGAGCTGTGAACTACACAAAGAAGCGTTTTCAGGACCTTTGGCTTATAGGGGCTTAGCTTTGGGCTAAAACTAGGTGGGCTTAACCATTGAAAAATTAAGACACACAGAGCTTAGTGATATCTTAACCCACACTGAGAATTTGGGCTAGTAGCGTGCCCTCATCTTCTTAACGTGTTTGGGCCTAGGGCTTCCACTTAACCAAAAACTAAATCTAAATTAAGATTTTGGTCTATAATTCGGTCGAAGTTCGACTTTAGTCCATGTAGTTTTAGTTCTCACTATTGAAGTGTTGGAGTTTAATAACTATTGCAGTTTAAGAATAATGACTTCATTTCGTCACTAACTCAAAAAATTGGTGCATGAGAGCCATATATGTAGTGATTTTACACTTCCAAACAGTCCAATTTACGGTCACCTCTGTTACTCATGTGTAATGTGGATTTATTATTATTTTTTATTTATTTATTTTTTAGACTGATTAATGTGGAACTTTGAGGAACCAAATTTTGGAAAACCCATCTAACTGGCCCCGGTTTATGAAATCTGGGTGCGCCCAAATCAAACCTTTTGACAAAAAGCCACCCTCAAATTCCAAATTTACCCTTCTTTTTTATCTAACCTTGGGCAAGGGGCAGTGGGCAACCGCATATTCCTTTTCATATGCCACTCCGGGGCCACAGAGAATAAGTAGGCAGTCCGTGATTCGCAAGAAAGAAATCACCTACCGTCCACATCGCTTGCACTTTTTGAACGATCAACGGCAGCGATTTCATTGACCGCACTTCACGCCCACGTGATCCCACCTCTATATTTACCACATCTCATCACTTTCTCTAGAAAGCCTTCGATAAATACGAAGAGTGAAAAAGACAGAGAGTTGCAGTTGCAGTTGAAGTTGAAGTTACAATGGCCACGACGATCAAGCTTGTTAAAGCCCGGCAAATCTTTGACAGCCGTGGAAATCCCACCGTCGAAGTGAGTTTCTCTCATTCTCCGCCATCCGATTTGCTTATTTTCCATCTCATTTTAAGTTATCTGTTTTCTTTTTTCTTTTTTTTCCCTCTTCACTGTCTCTTCTTTTTTTTGGTCAGCACTGTCTGTTTGGTCTATGAGAAAATGTGAGAAAACAAAATTAAATTTTAGTAAGAGGCTGGATTTCTGAGCAACCAAACATTTTTTTTCTTTTTCTTTTTTCCCTTGGATTCAAATGTAAGACTGATGATGACTGAATGTGTGTATATTTAAGGTTGATGTTACACTCTTCGATGGAACCTACGCAAGAGCAGCCGTTCCAAGTGGAGCTTCCACAGGTGAAAACCATAGAGTGTTCCCCTTCCTCTTCATTTGTTTTAGTCTTATGTTCTGATTGTTCCTGAGTTTGCTGGTTATGTTGGAGAGTTAGGTTTTAGGAACTATATATCTTTATATATTCCTTTATGTCTGTGTTTTCGCACTTCATTAGTGAGGTGTTTGCACTTCATTTCTTTACATTTTTCTATTTATGCTGTAAAGTAGGTTTAATTTGAAATTTTTTGAGTGCCTATGATCATGGTTCTAGTTGTAGTTCTTTCTCGCTAATATTTTATTGTTATATTATATGATTGAAAAGGTATCTATGAAGCCCTGGAGTTGAGAGATGGTGGATCGGATTATCTTGGGAAAGGTGTCCTTAAAGTATGTGGTTATTTTTCAGTATTAGATTTTGACTCTGCGATGTCTGTATAATGTTACTCTATATCATTTTGATTTCGTTTTTCGTTTAAATGGAGCAAAGTTGATCATTGCAATTTAATCTTGTGTTTAGGCTGTGGAGAATGTGAATTCGATCATTGGACCTGCTTTGATTGGAAAGGTACCATAGAGATTTTTAGATTGTATTCTATTCCTATTCCAATGAAAGGCAATTGGTTATTAATTTTCTTCTTGCTTCTTGTGTGCATCACAGGACCCAACAGAGCAGACCAAAATTGACAATTATATGGTACAACAGCTTGATGGAACTGTTAACGAATGGGGTTGGTGCAAACAGAAGGTATATTAATGTTTTTTCTTCTTGCTTCTTCTTCCTCTCTTATTGCCGCACTTCGGTCCAATTTGTTGCATGCTAATTCTGGTTTCTTCTCACTTTTATTATTTTAGCTTGGAGCAAATGCTATACTGGCAGTGTCTCTTGCTGTCTGCAAAGCGGGTGCCATTGTGAACAAGATCCCTCTTTACAAGGTTTGTTTCCAGGGAGAGTAGTACCCTGCCATTTCATTTAGTTAAAGGCATGTCTCAGGTTCACTCTTAATAGTGCTTTTTCTTTTTACATTGCAGCACATTGCCAATCTTGCTGGAAACAAGACCTTGGTGCTACCTGTACCTGCATTTAATGTCATTAATGGAGGTTCTCATGCAGGCAATAAACTAGCAATGCAGGTTAATGTTGATTTCGTGTTTCTCTTTTTGTTCTTGAATAATCTGTTAGTATTTTCTCTTATGTTATGAGAAATTAGTGCCCCTTGCAATTTTTATTCTTATTATTTCTTCTGTGACAGGAATTCATGATTCTCCCTGTTGGAGCATCTTCTTTCAAGGAAGCCATGAAGATGGGTGTAGAAGTATATCATCACCTGAAGGTATTACTATTTTATTTTGCAGCTTTTGCATAATAGAATTACCTCCTTTGCAGGCCTCATCAAGTTTCCACTTGGTTTCTCTTCCAGGCTGTAATTAAGAAGAAGTATGGACAAGATGCCACAAATGTTGGGGATGAAGGCGGCTTTGCACCTAATATTCAGGTATGTAAAAATATTAACAAAACAAGACAACTTAGAGTGGCTTTTTGTTTTTGTGTTCTTTACTGGCTTAATTATTTGAATGGTGGTAATTTAATTTACTAAGTTTCCAGAGTACATGTCTTCGTATAACAGATTAACTTCTGCTTATGTAGAAAATGACAATTGTTTTTTTCCTTATTGAATTTTGGCTGGACAGTGGAATAATTCATTCTTTTGATGTTTCCCTTTACAGGAAAACAAAGAGGGTCTTGAGCTGCTGAAGACAGCCATAGCTAAAGCTGGATATACTGGAAAGGTTGTCATTGGAATGGATGTTGCTGCTTCAGAATTCTATGATAACAAGGATAAGACTTATGACTTGAATTTCAAGGAAGAGGTAACTAAATTACAACATATTTGGCTACACATGGATAATTATCTTTTCTATATACTAATTATATGGATTTATTATCTCTTATGTTGGGTTAGCTGGCTGAACTACTTAGTTTTATGCTGCAGAAAAATGATGGATCACAAAAAATATCAGGAGACAGTCTGAAGAATGTTTACAAGTCATTTGTTACTGAATATCCAATTGTGTCGATTGAAGATCCCTTTGATCAGGATGATTGGGAACACTATGCAAAGATGACTGCTGAAATTGGTGAGCAAGTGCAAATTGTTGGCGATGATCTCCTTGTCACAAATCCAAAGGCAAGTAGATTTTATTATTATACCGCCACATGTATCACATTATGTGTGATGAATCATAGAAAAGGTGGTCTTGACATTTCTTTGTTCATTGTGCTTGCTGCAGCGAGTGGAGAAAGCAATCAAGGAGAAGACCTGCAATGCTCTTCTTTTGAAGGTAGTAATTTCGGCCCCTTTCTTTCCTCGATTTTGGATCCAATATTTCATGATTTATAGGTGGCTAATGCTGGTACTTTCGTCTTTTGTCCAGGTTATTAATAGTTTATGGATTTCTGTGGATGACTATTGAACAGTGATGACACTCATCTCTTTATTTTTTGTTTGTGTAGGTGAATCAAATTGGTTCAGTAACTGAAAGTATTGAAGCCGTGAAGATGTCAAAACGTGCTGGCTGGGGTGTCATGGCAAGTCACCGAAGGTATCCCATTTTTCGTTATTTTCATTTATCTCTTGGTACACATAATCTTTTGCTAATTTGGTTTATCTGTTTACTTTTACAGTGGTGAAACTGAGGATACTTTCATCGCTGACCTTTCTGTTGGGCTGTCGACGGTAAGTGCTAGGGTCTTACCTGGATGCTATATAAGTCTAACCTTGTACTTTATAATTTAGTGTTAGAATTGTATTGGGATATTGTCGTCCAAGCTTTGGACTAGGCTGTTACTTAAACTGATTTGGCCTATGCATCCTTGTTTGATCAAACAGGGCCAAATTAAGACTGGAGCTCCTTGCAGATCAGAGCGGCTTGCTAAATACAACCAGGTAAAACTTTGTGCGCCCATCTTCTTGTTAACTTGCTTCTAAGTTCTCTCTAACTATTTTCTGCTTTTCTTGTTGGGTGTTTTGCAGCTTCTTAGGATAGAAGAGGAGCTTGGATCTGCAGCAGTCTATGCCGGATCGAAATTCAGAGTACCAGTGGAACCATACTGATAGGAGTGCTGGAATCTTAAAACCCTACTTGTTAAATAAGCCTTTCTGGTTTTTGGTATTACCAACCAAGCATGTAATTTTAAATAGCCGTTGTCCTTACTGCTAGTTACTATAGGATCTTGGTGAGGAAATCAGCAACTATTAATGAATGTGTTATCTAGGTTTGTTTCTATTTCAGCTTTCTTGGTGATGCAATGCAATGTTGAGTCTTCTCCATATTGCTCGAGTCTTTATGGGTTAAGACAAAATCTTGAAATGTTGTTAAAGAATACACTTTGATTATTTTCTTCCGAAGCATCAGTCCAGTCGAATCCAATCCAATCCAATCGTCTTTCTCAACTCTCTCTTTCTCTCGCGTTCATCCCAAAAGACCATACAAAAGTCATTTTCGAGCATCTCCAAGGGAGATGTCAAATATCAAATTTAAATTTGATGGCTGATGTGGCAATTTGACATCTTACACAGTTCTACACTCCACCTGATATGTCAAATTAAATTATTATTTTATTACATTTTAGTGTTGATTCATTTTTAATTAAAAAGAAAAGAATATAAAAAATAATAAAATATTCATTTGACATATTGCTTTTGGGATGTCAAAAATAACATCTCAACCTC